GGTTTGTGCTGGGATGGGGTTCACGGGGTGCTGGGGTCACTGGGTTGTACTGGGTTATACTGGGAGAGGGATTTGGGGGCTGTGTGAGCGCCCCCTGCTGGCTGGGAGGACCCGGTAGGTGAATGTGAGTCGTACTGGTTTATACTGGGATGGGCTCCAGGGCGTGCTGGGGTCACTGGGTTATACTGGGTTATACTGGGAGATGGATTTGGGGTCTGTGCAAGCGCCCCCTGCTGGCTGGGAGGACCCGGTAGGTGAATGTGAGTCGTACTGGTTTATACTGGGATGGGGTGCTGGGGGTTACTGGTTTGTGCTGGGATGGGCTCCAGGGGGTGCTGGGGTCACTGGGTTATACTGGGAGAGGGGTTTGGGGTCTGTGCGAGCGCCCCCTGCTGGCCGGGAGGACCTGGTGGCTGACTGTGAGTCATACTGGGTTATACTGGTTTGTACTGGGATGGGGTTACTGGTTTGGACTGGTTTGGACTGGGATGGGCTCCAGGGGGTTCTGGGGTCACTGGGTTGTACTGGGTTATACTGGGAGAGGGGTTTGGGGTCTGTGCGAGCGCCCCCTGCTGGCCGGGAGGACCTAGAGCTGGCTGTGCTGGTACTGGGTTATACTGGTTTATACTGGGATACGGTCCTGGAGGTTAATGGGTTATACTGGGAGGAGGCTTGGGGACGCTTGGCACTCCACTGGGAGCAACTTCTGGGGATGCTGGCCTTACTGGTTTATACTGGGACGGGGCTTGGGACCTACTGGGAGTGACTTCAGGTTGTGTTGGCCTTACTGGTTTATACCGGGAGCTGCAGCCATGGGCTCAGGGGTGGCTCCCAGTGCTTACTGGTTTATACTGGTGCCTTCCCAGTCCACGCCTGGGAGCACAGGAGGGCTCTGGTGGCCGGGCAGGACCCCGAGGCCGAGCTGGCCTATGCCGGGGCCCTGCTGAGCCGAGACTTCTCCAACTTCTCGGCCTGGCACCACCGGCTGCGGCTGCTGGCGCCCAGCAGGGGCTCCGGGAAGGGCGAGGCCGGGGCGCTGCCCCCTGAGAGGCTGAAGGAAGGTGAGGGATTGCCCGGGAAAATTC